TCTTGTTATTTCGAATTGCTTTAGTTGATTTCACTTTATGATTCTATTTTACTTTTACAACTGTTAAAATTTTCAATGAGACAAAATTACACGTGGTCTATTGAGACTTACTTAAACTGTGTACGATGTTACCACTAGATAGGTCAAAGCACGAAGAGATCGAACACTCAGCAGTTTTTCGGGTCCGAGATTTTTGCGGTCCCTCAATTGTTAATTGGAGGGAGAAACCAATGTCGAATTAGCTATCGAATTTCGGGGACTCTTACCCTCTCTTCGGATGTTTCAGAAAACTACTATAGTGGCAGCCTACTCTGTATATTGATGCACAAGTATAGGTCACAGGATGTGCACTGTACATTTGTGATAATGTATAGGCGCATCTATACACACACATATGCACGCAGAGACTTAATGTTAAACTGTACTTTACTATATGAGAATTTTAGATATCAATATTCTTTAACTTATATATGTAGTTAAATTATTTAAACGCTTAAACTACGTTTAAATAATGTATGTTAACAATCGACTGAAAATTTAATGAACAATTAGTCAGTCATTGTTAATAATTAATTTGTAATTTTCGATTTGTTTATTCTTATCTCTTAATATTTAAATTCTATTTTATTTTATAATTTCATTAATTAACTATTCATTTGAGTCATTATTTTACTTCTAATTCCCGTGTAAAAAAGTTGCGGGATTCCGCCGGTAATCCGCAGGTGATCTGCAGGTGATCCGCTGAATATCATGTGGAAGTCATATTTTGACACAAATAGGAATTCTAAATGCATTCCGAATGAATTCCGGGTGAATATCCAAAGATAATATGGAAAGAAAGTTAGTGATAGATTGTAATGATTTTGTTATAAATTGAGACGTAAAATAAGAAATATTAAAAAATAAAAAATTAGCACTAACGAAGTAATAATTTGAGCTTTTGAAAAAAAAAAAAATGGATTTTTCAATAATAAACTTGTACCGAATTTTAATGAAGAGTTATCCACACACACAAACATACATACACATATACAGCCGCACGGACACCATCACGGGAATAGTCAGGACAATTTCCTAGAACCTCAAAACGTCGAGATTTGATGAAAACGTAATTTTCGCAAACCGGGTAAAACCAATAGCTTCCTGAATTTTTTAAAATTTTCAATTTTACCGTCGAAAGTCCTAATACGGAACTATGGGAACGCATTATAAAAACTTCGAATCATTTTGATTTTGAATTTTTTTTTGAGTGATTTTAGAAATTTTAGCGGAGTTCTGGAGGATTTCCATCGAAATAAGTCAGGCTTCCTTAAAGAAATCTTAAATAGTCGTCTAGAAACCAGTAACTAGATTAAGCGAGACCTCCAGAAATATCGTCAGCGTGATCTCCAGCGAGACCTCCAGAAAGATCGTCAGCGTGATCACCAGCGAGATTTCTAAAAAAGACCGTCAGCGTGATCACCAGCGAGA